CGGACCCAACTGCCCAACTACGAATAAAGGAGTCCCCACGGATAGCATTGGCATCCGGGATTCAAAGAAACTTGAACGACGTCACTCTGCCTTCAAGTGAATAGACTACTTCCTGCACTACCTTATTCTGTGTCATATCGAGCCCAATTTGAACCTCCTTTTGCTTCCGAACATAGACGAGGATCAGAAAAATGGCGACCAATCCCAACGGAACGGAATATGTGCCCCCCAAAAGTCAACTACCTTATCCACCAATCCATAAGAATGCAAAGTTTGTGGTCTTGTCGGACTGTAAGCGCTGATGATCTTTGGGATGAAGCACGTTCTGACGACACCTTGGCATCAGGGGATGGTATGTTGATAAATCGCAATAAAAGGTATCAATTAATGTGATAATTTTCACAGGGACAATAACTTCTTTTGACTCGAATGGTGTGTATCTCTTACTTGATGCCTTACAAACATCGACTAATGCGTCCTTGTGCAGATCGTTAGTGATATCAGATCTTCCGCGACGCGGGCAAGACACTAATGGACTATAGACCTTACGGACAATTATGGCTTTGGAAATAAAAGGAGGTGAATAAGCGCTAAGAACCTCCCCGTTCCTAGTCAAGAGAACTGACGCCACAGATTCCAGGCGCGAACTGAATATTGAAATTCTCAATGGAACAGTGACCTTTCGGTACGACATCTCTCTCGCAATCAACACGGAATTCCGAACGTTCCTTTCGCATATCACTCCCTTGTGATTCGTCTTCATTTGGCGAAATGAACTCATGCGGAATTTCCGAACAGTGACGCATTCAAGGAGATGCTTAATAGCATCCCATATTCCTATGAAGAGTGCAGAGATATCTTGGTGCGAGGTGAGAGCTTCTCTCAGTGTGTCAAATTCCGTATTCTTAGCCTTCCCTAATCTGTTCTTCGTAGATATCAAGCTCGACCCTGGGTTCGCTGATTTCTATGCATGGTGCAAGGAGAATGAAATACCAGTGACCATTGTTTCGAGGTAGGGTCACTTCATAAATCATCATATCCACCTTCTATGAAAAACTTCTCTGTCGTCTTTCTGTTCCCGGATTTGCCATATCGCTCATGATCTTTCTTCCCAGTGGCATGACACCATGGATTCGTGCCGTTCTCTCTAAACTGATCGGAGAAGAAGAATCCGCCAAAATCGAAGTGATTTGTAATGACGTGGAATACGATGCGAATGGTCGCTGGCATATCAAGTTTCGACACCCGGAAAGGTGAGTGTCCTACCTTTGGGCATCTCTCTCCAAGTAGCACTGTTCAAGTTTCTTTGAATCCCGGATGCCAATGCTATCCGTGGGGACTCCTTTATTCGTAGTTGGGCAGTTGGGTCCG